ACTGGTGGTATTAAAAAAAAATTAAGGATTTAATCCGTATTGAAGCGGCGGATTAATGATATTTTAATCTTTTTATTATTGTTGATTCAAAAACCCATTCCGCCAAACCCGTCCAGCCAAAAAACTCATTTATTATATTAGTGTTGATCTTATTTATGATATGATTCTGAAATTGTCTAAATATTTTAATCGATGTAGAACGTTGAACACACATTTTCGTCAATTAGATAATATATGTCCGTTTTTAAAATTTCGAATAACAGTATATGCAGAAAAAAAAATTGATTTTTTTTTACTTATGTATTATATGATGATTTAAAACAGTTAAAAACCAATCAAACAAAGATGATAGGAGAATCATAATTCTAAATCTTAATCAAATCTTCTAAATATCTAAATTATTAAATATAGAATATCCGGTGTATGAGTTGGGTTTTATTTAATCCGATCCAAGTATTATTTTGTGAAGGAAATTAAAAACGGGTCGGATATCCGATTAACCCAGAAGCATTTTTACCCACCCGTCACCAAAGTGTTGCAAAAATACTAGTATAGATGGGATCTTTTAGATACATAAATGTTTAGTACGTAAATTTTAATTCTTACCGAGAAAAAAGGAGTATATGTTAAACACTCTTGTGTTAATTATCTATATTTATTTTAGGACGAGCTAAAGTGTCAAAAATAAATAATGAAAGTTTTTGTAATAAAGATTAATTTAAAAATAAATACACTTCTTTACCTATAGTAAAAATAATAATATAATGATGCCACACATACTATTTTAAGTCATTTATATTTTACATAAATGTATCATACATTATAACCGAAACTAATTGTTATCTATAACGATATAAGTAAATTTTAAAACATCATATGAAGTTACGTTGATAGGAAATCTACGAAACCTCAATTTTTGTGAAATGGCATGGGACAAGTAATAATAACCAATTATTCCATTGTTACAGAACCATGCATTTTTCAAAATATGATTGTTATGATCAATAAGCTCTCATTATCTCTAACCCCACCCCCCCCCCCCCCCCCCCCCCCCCCCCCCCCCTATGTGCATTTCGTCTAGAGCTGTCAAAATGGGCGGGCGGCAATGGGCTGTCCGTGTTCAACACTTTATGGACCGGTCATGGATAAACCCATTTTAAGATGTTTTTTAATGGTCATGGTCACTATTTGTCCATGGATAAAATTGACTGGACATCATGGATATGGTCAGCCCATTATACTCAAAATACTAGGTCAAAATCGAAATTAATTTGGGGAAAAATAAAAACAAATTTACTTATTTTCGTAAAATCGAAACAAGAAAAATTCCGACGATTTCTTCGCCAAATAATCATCATCACTATTATTTGGTGAGAAAATTGCGAAATTTTCGTACACAGTCCACTTCAAACGCGTGGAAGGAAATCGCTGCCAAAGAAAGATTCGCTAGTGGTCGACTTCTTGGACCTCCAATTATGCATATTTGTCTGTTTTCCGGATATAGACTCTAAATTTAAATCTATGGTTTTGTAGGACTCTAAAAGCATTTCTAGAACTGAATTAATTCACCAACTTTATTAAATGCTCGCTAATATTATCTCATGCATCTTCCTCCTTTCATTAACTCTGCTAAGTTCTATAGAGATAATCATAACTTTTTGTTATAATACTCGTCTCCAATTTCGCGGCAGGGCTATTTTTGTGTGGTCGTCGTTCATATAATGTTTTTTCTGTTGCGACAACAAGAGGAAACAACTTCAGACGCCGGAGCCATCGCAGACATCCCAATGGCAGCAGCAAATTGTTAGAGCTCCAACATATCAGCCAAGGAAAATCGTCGATGTGGAAAATGGTAAATATATGGTTTTTCTTTTTATCAATGTAGATTTTATTAATTTGATGGTATTTTACTGAAGATCGCTTGCGGTGTAAAAGTGACACCATTGTGAAACCTGTTGTTCCATGTTAGGGGTTGGAGTTGATCATCCAAGCCCAACCCATCTTCGGCTCAAGAAAAGTTCAAGGAAAAAGTCTAAAAAAATCGTCAAAATAGTCGAAGTACCACCGACACTGTTCCCTATAAATACGAAAATAGCAAAAACTGTCCGAGGATCCCCGAAATTGACGCTGACAGAAAGAGTACCCTATAGTTAAGCCGGTCCAACGACGAAATCATCAAAACCATGTTTTCTTTTGTGATTAATGCGTAAATTCTTTATCTACATGCAGCTTCTTAAAAAGATTAATTCCAATGTCACTTCCTTATTCTTAGATAATATAATAATACACTAATAAGGATTAATTATACAATTTTTACAACTTGGTTATCCACCACAACTTTTCTTTCATACTTGGCTAAATAGTTTTTAACTCTTTTTTTCATTATTTATATCAATTGGCTAAAAAGACGAAGTCAAAGAGAAAATATAGATGATTTAAAATTCAATTAAAGACTGTTTTTTTGCAAGTAATTTGGCTAATCATAAGTTTCTACTAGTTCGGATGGCAAAACCCATTTGAGTTTCGTTTGCTTTTAAAAACCAGTTTTTTCTTCATTTGTGGACCATAGCGAATACTCGCTTCAACTAATTAGATAGTACAGTTTGGTAATTGTTATCTTGTATTTAAGTTGATTCCAGTTATTTATTTACCATCCTACATTTTTTTTTTTTTGATTGAACATCCTACAAAATTTTAGTAAACAAACAGCGGTACATAAGTCATGTAGAAATCCTGCAATTTCTTGTATCTTTCAGAAGAATATATATAAGCCATTTTGCTCATGTCGGCAAGTTTATCTACATACATAAAGTCATAGAAAATTTGTCGCTATCTATATATATATATATAAAGTCGCTTTTATCATATAGACGAATCCCTACAAATTCACATCACATTTATTTTTCCTATAACGATGGTGATGTTTCGTTTCTTAAGCTGCTTCATCAACTGCACCAAGATAAAGCCATCGGCTTCGCCTCAAGTGGTCGAAACGGGCAAGAATATTTCTCCTTCGCCTCCGCCGCCGCAACCGCAAGTGACCGAAACGGCCAAGAAAGAGCTGCCACGGCAGCCGTCTCCGCCGGGAGTAGTAAGCTTAAAAGGTTGTAACGGTCAAAGATGGAGGACTTGTTGTTTCAAAGTCGAGTAAGACCACCAACAAGAGTTCACGCCGTCGCACACGCTATGGAAAAGACGCCGGCGGTTTTGGAGGTTGTGGTGGTGGGTGTGGAGGCGGAGGCTGTTAAAATTCTTAACTTGTCTTATGCGTAGTCTAATTTATTTATTATAATTGTGCCTTTCTTTTAACTTGTGTTCTTGGAAATTTATTGTACAAAGTTTTCTTTACATATTACATGGATACTACTCATCGCCGAATGTATCTTTTACTTTTACACAATAATAGAGACTCCATATATATATATATATATATTATAGTTAAAAAGATTAGTGTGTTTTTGGTTAGCATAAATACTAAATTTCATATCATAGATGTAACTGAAAAGAATAAAAGAAATGAAGAAAATAAACTACTTTTTTAAAGACAAAAGTTCGATATAGAATTAGAATCAATTGATCTTTGCTTGTTGTTGTTTCACTTAACGGAAATAGATATTAAACTAATAAAATTAACTGTAATGTGTTGTTTCCTTGAAATAAATTAAGAACTCATTCCATTAATTAATTGACCAACTCTCGACCAAAATTCCGTGTATCCTTCAGAGAACAAATAGACTCTGTCATAACTCATAAGCTTGTAATATAAACATATATATATAGATATATTATAATATTCAACTTGACGGCAATTTAGAATTGTACTATATAAAAGAAAATTATTGCACAAATGTGTTATGTATCAGTATTCAGAATAAGAAACATAAAGACCCAAAAAAAACTTATATTTATCGACTTAAATTGTAATTTGTTATTGTGTTGCTATATATATACGATCGGTATGATTCGATTCTTATGCTGTTTCTTCAACAGCAAGAAGAAAAAGCAGAGTAAGAGGCGTTCCAGCGGCGGTAATGGAGGAGGAGGTTGTTGTGGTGGCGGAGACGGTGGCTGTGGAGGTTGCGGAGGTGGTTGTGGAGGTGGTGGAGATTAATTGAAGATGGTATAGCTATGTGATGATTTCTTGTGGCATGTGATGTATTTATATATGCTTGTAAATTTTAACGTGTGATACAAGTCAAATATCTTAATTAATAATGTTCTTTGTTTGTTTTCTCTTATTTTGCTGTTGTTTAGTGCTCTCACTTGCTTTTTTATTACATCTTCCTATAATTTTCTTATCTACGAGAACGATTTTGCAGAGAGAAGACGACGAACGTTCATATTGGGGAGCATATGAAATTATTGGATCTTCAGTCGCATATATAGTTATTTACAATAAGTTTTGTTCTTTGGTGGATTTCATTAGGCCGTCCCACACGTCTTTTATTAAGATCGTAAATCATCTATAAAACGTACGTCCTTGGTCTTTAGAGGACTTCATTAGGCGTTTTCTCTGGCAAATGGATACCTTATTTCGACGTGGTCACGAGTCTGGTAACGGGTCAATGATATATATACACTTATTTTCTGTACCATTGTTTTTTTTTTCCTGATAATTTCGTTTGTTTTTTTTTTATCTTATGATCATATTTCAGTGATTTTTTTCTTAGGATCATATCTTTAATGTTTATGATTAACAAATCGCCCTTCCTAGCTAATCTTAAGACATCACTTCGTGAGGCATTAGATGCTTTTGCTTCTTGGTCCGGTCAAAATCATCTTAAGACAAATGAGACTTTTCTTGTTTTCTCGGAAAGAAAAGTAATCAAGAAGAAAATGTCACATCCATTAACCTTGTTAGTACATTGGAAATTTCTTTTGCTATTTCTTGTATCTTTCATAAACCGATTAAAATAATTAGGTTATGCGATAAGCTTCTATACATCTTCAAACTGTACGATACATTGGGGCTGTATAAAAGGACACTAAAAGTCATATTTTTGTATCAGTTCAGTTTCAAGAATAGAGAAAACTAAAAAGAAATTATGAAAGGTTATGTTATTGCCCTTATAGTATGCGGTTGTGTCGCTGCAACTGCGGTGGTTCTTATCTTATGCTGTCTTCACTACCGCAAGAAGAAGAAAACGTGGTCTCCACAACCGCCTCTGCAGCCGAGAGACGTTGAAAATGGTAGGAGCCACGGCGGTACGAGAGATGGAGGACTTGTTGTTTTGACAGGGACTGCTGCCACTACAGCTATTGTAGCTACGGCAGTAACCACCGGAACATCCGATGATATTAGTGGTAGTGGCGGAGGCGGTGAAGGTGGAGGAGACTGTGATGGTGGTGGAGATGGCGGAGGATGTGGAGGTTGCGGTGGTTGTGGCGGCTGTGGAGGTTAAATGTTTTATAGTTATTAGTTATGAAATGAATTTATATGTGTGTTATAATTGTGTATGTAAGACTTTAAAATATGATCTCCGAATGAACATTTTTTTTTTGTCAACCACACATTAATTATTAAAAAAACTCTTTGATTGGTTGCCCAATTAGGAGAAGTAGTGTTTACAAAAGTAACTTCAGAAAATAAAAGTCGAGAAGAACGGGCTAAGCAATCCGCCTTAACATTACATAAACGAGAGATAAGGGAAAGCGAGAATAAGGGGAAGGAGACACGGAGCAGTCTAAAATCGTCTAGCTGATTGGAGAAAGCGGGCCATTCTTCAGGTGATTGTACCATCGAGACTAACTCTGAGCAATCTGTTTCAAACGCCTGACAATCAATCCTTCTTGAAAGGATATTCTTCATGGCCCAAATTAAAGCTTCCATCTCCGAGTGAAGGGGGGAGGGGCACCTCCGGAGGCATTTTGCACCAAGAAGTATCGTTTGATCATTTCCTTGAAAACACCACCATCCTATACCCATAGTTGGGTCCGAAGATTTCCAAGAGCCGTCCATCCGACATCTTAAAAATTGGATTGGGCTTTCCAATATTTCCGTAATAATTCTAGTTTCAATCGGTTCCAACTGAGCATCTTTCCACATTGATTTCTCACTCAAAGCGTGATTTAAAATATCTGTGGGTTCATATTGTATTCCTTTGAAAACCTTTTTATTCCTATATTTCCATATAAACCACAAAATCTAATGTAATGTATATAAAATTATAAATTCTAATTATGATTAATATATCACACACAAGGTGATACGATTAATGTTGTAAATCTGAATTTTCTGGTTTGGCATAAAATCCCTTATATATTAATAGAGAAACATTTTAAAAAATAAATCTTACCTTAATGTGTTATTAACAAGATTGCCATGCTGACGTGTCGCTCTCAGAATGATTTGTCACCTATTTAAATAATTGCCCAAATTTTATTAGATTATTTACAGAATTTGCCATTAATATTATACACACATATATCCTATTAATCAAAACAAATTTTTAATTAAAATTGCAAATAATTATGCAACAAATCTTTCCAAAATAAATATACCACAAACTTAAGCAAATGATTACGTAAATAATATTAGTAACACAGGCTACGAGACCACATTTATCTCTATATTAGCAAGATCATTAAAATGTAACAAAGGCTACGACCAACCTTAAGCAAATTTTATCAAATAACTAATACTTCCAAACTAAATATACAACTGCCTTACATTTTTTCCATATAAACATTAGATATCTATATTAATTAGCAAAGACATTAAAATGTAACAAACATTTATGTTTATATTTAAGGGACAAAGACATTAAAATGTAACAGACGGGTTAATGGCAGATTTTTGTGGGTTTTTTATTCGGTTTTGAAAAAACCGGGCATATGAGCAAAAAATAAATAAAAAAAATTTCGGACATTAGCACTAAATCTAAACCGGAAAAGTGTACGGATTGCATGTTAACTGATCATAATAAACGGTTCGGGTCGGACGTGAAAACACTGATTTATATGTATATAAAGAAATTTTGTTAAAAGACACAAAATATTCAACCCTTTAAAGATTGAACAATTTCTTTACTTATACAGAAAATTGTGACCATCAACCTTTTCCCGCGCAAGGCGCGGGTCCTGTATCTAGTTTTATGTTATTGAGCATGTATACTTAGAAAGAGTTATTAATCAGTTATCCAAAAAAAAAGGTGTAATCACTATCAAAAACAAATGTTGTAGTAACTTATGAATTTTTATTGAAAAGAAAAAGTAATCAAGAAGAAAATGTCTTAATTAAATTTTACAAGAAAAATTGAACTTTCCTTAGCAATTTCGTGTGTCTTTAAGAAACTAAATAGGTTCATGTCATAACATTCTATATATAAGGACACTATTCTCGCATCTTTTGACATCAATTCAGTTTAACAAAAAAATTAAGAAGAAATAATGGATCCATCTGTCATTGTCATTATTTATGTATGTGGATTTGTTATGTTCCCGTCAATAACCCTCATATGCTGTATCTTCTCCCTTAGGAAGCCTTTGTCTCAGCCGCGAGATTTGGAGAATGGTAACATGGGAACAAAAGATGGAGGACTTGTTGTTTTGTCAAGGAATGATGGTGGTGGATGTGGAGGTTGTGGCGGTTGTGGAGGTTAAAGGTTTTATAGTTATTAGTTATGTAATGAATTTATATGTGTGTTAGAATTGTGTAAGGATTAAAATGTGATCTCCTACATGAGAATGAACATTTAATGCATATAAATTCTAATTATTATTAATATATCACACAATAAGGTGATTGTGTAAATATGAGTTTTCTGGTTTGACATAAATTTTTATGCTATTGAGCATGCATACTTAGAAAGTGTTTTAATCAGTTATTCAAAAAAAAAAAGTGTTATAAATCTTCCAACACAACTTTAACATAACTTATTCGGATCGGCGTCTTAAACGGTTAGTTTCAAAAAAAATTAAAGCTCTACATCATGACTTGTATAGAGAGATATATCAGCTGATGAATCCACGGAACATAAAATGAAAGCTGCTGTTCCTAGAATTTTGTGGGCTAAATTGGTTTAGATGACTATAAATCTAAATGAGAATTTGATCTTTTTAGTTACATGACACTTATTTATATATATATATATATACATATATGAATATTTATCTAATATTTTCATGATAGGTTATATTATAAATCCTTTAGATTCAAGATTTCTTTTAAGTATTCTAAGAAAATGCCATATTTATTTTTTGATTTCCTACCACAATTGTTTTTCTATAGAAAAGATTTACCTAAGTAAATTGTTAAGATATTTACCTAAGTAAATTGTTAAAAGATTTTGGTAATGTTTGGTAAACTTTCATAAAAGTTGAGGTCTTTCCGATTAAAAACAACAGTTGTTTAGTAATTTTGTGTATTTTGATATATTTTTCTCCGCATTGGATGACAAATTAATTAAGGAGTCAATTTATAATTTAGATGTGCGGTTGACTAAAGAAAAACTTAATATATGTTTTTGAATTAATCATTTCTTTGTAGATATATAAAAAATTCACATAACCAAAATATTTGGATCATGGATTCATATTTAAAAATACAATAATGTTTCGAGTGTATTGAGAATGATGTTTCGAATATTTCCAGTATGTCTGATGTGTATGGGTAAGTCACACGCTTTCGTATTGACCAAAAGTAATTCACTGCATAGTGTATAGAATGATGTTTCAAATATTCAACCTATTATCGTGATTTCAATTTCTATTTGACCGTAAAAAAATATATACACCTACTACTAACCATTAAACAGGCAAATACTAAACAAGCCGGACAACAAAATTATTTACAACTAAAATATTAGAACCTATACAAAAACTTTCTTCTTTAACAACAAAAAAAACTTTGTTATGATCTTTTCCCCCCTACATTTTCTTATATTCATTATAGTATTATAACCTATGGAAGACCTCTGATTTTGTTTGGTTGGAATTTACTATATATATTTATATTAATTAGGTTTCGGAAAGGATATTTTCATCAAATATAAACAGTGTTCATTACAAAAATTGTATAACAGAAAAAGAAGAAAGGAAATGAATCACTTTAAAGAAAAGAAATCGAAACTCTACTAATTTCTTAAAACTAGAATCATAATATTAAATAATATTTTACATGACAAAGAACGAGTGTTCTTCTGTAGAAACATCTACCAAGTTGAGTAAGCGAAAAACTCAAAGCAAGTTTATTATAAATAATAAAATTCAAAGCAAATAAAAAAATTCAAAGCTAGTTGAAACTATGAAATTTTAGAAAAGAAAAGGTAATCAAGCAGAAAATGTCATAACTTATCCTAGTAAAATGGAAAATTTCAATGCAATTTCGTGTATCTTCAAGAAAACTAAATAGGTTTGTGGCATTAGCTTCTATATAAAAAGGACACTATCATCGCATCTTTTTGTGATCAATTCATCAGTTTCATATAAAAATAATAATAATGGAAGATTTTGTTATTGTCATTATTATAGTATGTGGTGCCAGTATTGTTTTGCCAATATTATGCTGTGTCCTCACCCACATATTGCAAAAGCCGTTAATGTCTCAGCCGCCAGATTTGGAAATGGGTAAAACGGGAACAAAAGATGGAGGACTTGTTGTTTTGACAGGGAATGATGCCACAACAGCTGTCGTAACAGCGGCTGTAATCACCGCAGATCCTGGCGGTGGCAGTGGTTGTTGTTGTAGATGCAATGATGGTGGTGCAGGAGGTGGCGGCGGTTGTGGAGGTTGTGGAGGTTGCGGCGGCTGTGGAGGTTAAGGGTTCCGTATAGTAATCTTATGTTATGATTTAATTATTGTACGTGTGATAATTAACTATTTATCTATGCATGTAATGTAAGATTTAAACTCTCGTGAGTATGGAAATTGTATCATAAGGTGAAGAAATGATTGTGTAAATATGAATTGGTGGTTTACAGAAAATTAAGTTTCTTATATAATAAATTAGGATGTCCTAAGTAAAAAATATACTATAAATTGGATGACTAACCGTGCAGTAACCGATATAATTGGAAGAACCATACTTAGGTTTACCCTTGAGGTGAACCTTTAAATTCACCCAACAGATTATAGCCAATCGTTTTGTCATGTCATTATTAATACTAGAGAATTAAAAAAGAAGAAACACAATTAAAAAAAAAAAAATCACAAAATAGATTTAGGGTTTAGGGTTTAGGGTTTATATTTTACAATTAAAACAAAATTAGATGTCGGTTTGGGTTGCCAAATGAGTGGTTAGGGTTTAGATTTTATAATTAAAACTAAATTACATATCGGTTAGGGTTTAGGGTTTAGGGTTTAGGGTTTAGATTTTACAACTAAAACGAAATTAGATGTCGGTTTGGGTTGCCAAATGAGTGGTTAGGGTTTAGATTTTATAATTAAAACGAAATTAGATATCGGTTTGGGTTGACAAATGAGTGGTTAGGGTTTAAATTTTACAATTAAAACGAAATTATATATCTGTTCACCGCTGGGTTTAGGGTTTATGGTTTAGGATT